GTCAACCAAATTCATGATCAACAATGACAGATCAAAACACACACATGCGATTGATGCCAGTGAGAGCTTTATATATGGAGATAAACTTGCTTAACTAGACCTGCTTTCTGATTTAGTTAAACTTTTTCCAGCCCAGTGAAGCACCCCAACTTCTCTTTCAGGTAATTGTCAGCAACACAGCAGTAAATATCAACACGAAGCAGATTATTGTAGATCACGCAGGGAGAACAAAGGGTAAAATATTTAACTGCAGCAGTGTTTGACTATATTCTGGGTAGTGAGAAAACCTGAAGTCATTTTCAAGGTCCACCATTTCTTCTTTTCAGTCGGGTCAAGTTTCTAAGCTTTCTAAATCTCCGTTTTCCGGCTAATGAAAAGAAAATAGGATTCCACCAACTCTCCTATCTACCTACTCCAGGACTTCTGTGAGGATCAAATGAGATGAGGCATGGGAAAGCGCTTCAGACATTTGGTTAAAGTGTGAAATGTTTCCACCTGGCTGTGTTCCTGGGCTGAAGAAACTGCAAGGAGGCTAGTCACTAGAGAGAGGAAGCTGGGCGTTGCTACGTGACGTCATTACCCAGATGGACACTTGGTATATTACCCAGATGGACACTTGGTATATTAACTAGATAGATAGATAGATAGATAGATAGATAGATAGATAGATAGATAGATAGATAGACAGATAGATAAATAGAATAAACAGATGTACAATAGAGTCAGAACTGTTTACAAAATCTTTCACAAAAATTTCATGACATTGTTCATGCATGCTGTCAGTTATACAGAGTAATGTGCTTGGTGGCCTTGTGGCTTTGGTTTGCATCAGTTGAGCAGTCATTAGGAGGAAGACAAACTACTGTCTTCGTGGTTTCTCTGCCTTGGCTCAGGCCTTCATTACTGCACTTGGAGCTGGTGCGCTCAGAACTGAGGGTGACCTCCTGTTGTCTTCAGGCACTTTTTACTTCACAGCTTCCAGAAGGGAGGATGATTACTGAGAGCAGCACAGCACTTAGGCATGGTCTACAGGGACCTGGCATTAGACTGCTCACAACAGAAGTCTTTACTTAAAAGATAGCTTTTCCTGTGAAAAATTAGTTTTAGACTTAAATTTATATTACAGATTTAACACTCCAGACACCTTTGTATGAACTTACTAAAAGTCGTCACCTATCTAATCCCTCCCCAAATTGCATCATTTTCAGTTCTACATTTTAAAACCTCTTCTGATTTAATAACTGGTCAAAAGATCTTTTATACAGTGTTTAAAGTATATCAGTTTTTGTTCTTATCCAGTTCTGTAAAAGCAAATGGTTTTATGCTTAAGATTTCCAGTTGTAAAGTTATTGATACATTATGAACTTAAGGTGATTTTAAAATCTGTCCTACTACATGTAATTAATAAGCAAGACCTCCATAAATCTTTTTCATTTAGATAAAATTGAAGTTCTAGATTTTAAGGTGAGACCATTAAGATGATGGTGTAGTTACAGAAATATTACACATAGCTTATATGTTAAAATTCTAAATTATACTTGCTTTTTATAATATAGCTGGAAAATAGGTACTTTATAAATATTTTACTCATTAATGAAATAGAAAGTTACAAGTAATTCTTTGTCTAAAGGGGTTCTATAAAAATTTATAAGCTTAAAATTTCTAAAAAATTGTAGGTTAGTGGGGATATAAATGGAGTGGTTTCTAGTCAAAGACGAGACATTAGGGATTATTTCTTTTAATTTAATATGTTTTCAAAGTGTCATCTCATTGAATGCTTTAGCTGTAACTGGATGACTAAATTATTTTGCAAATAATGTTTGGGGTTTATTGAAATACTAAAATATAAATAAAAGTTCCATAAAGTAAATGAGTTATAAACAATTCTAAATGATTTTTTTCTCTTATTGCTTTTATACAGAGGTTCCCCCCCTAAGGTTTTTTCCTATAGAAACTGAAAATTATATAGGCTACTTGTACATAATTACAATGTGATTATTTTGCCCATTACCTTAGACCAGTGATGGCAAACCTATGACACGCGTGTCAGAGGTGACACACGAACTCATTTTTTTGGTTGATTTTTCTTTGTTAAATGGCATGTAAATATATAAAATAAATATCAAAAATATAAGTCTTTGTTTTACTGTGGTTGCAAATATAAAAACATTTCTATATGTGACACGGCACTAGAGTTAATTTAGGGTTTTTCAAAATGCTGACACGCCGAGCTCTAAAGGTTCGCCATCACTGCCTTAGACTAAAGTTAGGAGAAGACTTTCTGTTTTTCATAGATATACTTGACCTAAATTTTATTATACCTAAAACATATTTTTACCAATAGTTTCTTATATGGTATTGTTTTGTTTTGTTTTGTTTTCAGAGAAATGAGGGTTTACAAAAGAAAGATACTCTCTCACGTTCTTGATTTTTTTTTAAGGAAGAAAGTCTTGAATTCTATATTTAACTACTTTTCTTTAAAATTTACAATAACTTTTAATAAACTCTCTACCCTCAGTATTTATTGATATTCATTTGCATTACCTTAAGGTTTACTTAAGTGAATGAAATTTTATTTTTACTAGTATAGTGTTTAACGGTAATTAAATTATATAGAGGTGTTAGAGCTCTTTAACATTTAACATAATATTGAAAGAAGCAATTTCAATTGGATTTGTTTCAGAATACCATTTTAGAAATCATTTGGCAGTATTAGCAACATCATTATTATATGAATGTATGCTAATGTGGTATGAAAGAAAGACCCTCATTAAAATCTTGTTGCTAAACAAGTGACAAAACCCTACAAACAGCTTGAGGCTTTAGGCCAGTCACAGTTATTCCTGAAGAGATTTGGACAAGTGTGAAAATACATAGAATGTGCCTTTATTGTGATCAGAACACATAAATGCTATCTCGCATTAATTCCCTACTAAGGGCATTTCTATTTATATTAGGGAAAGAAGTCTTAAAATAATGAATGCCTAAGCATTCTGTTGTGAATTTCTCAGTGTAAAAATATTGTGTTTGTTAAATTCAGAATGTGGACTTTTGATAATAGCCATTGTGTTTGTGTTTTCCAGAAAAGGACTAGGATTGGTCAACTATAAAATTTCATTAGGCAAAGTCTTTCTTACAGACATTAACTAAGTGAACTGGTCTGGAGTAGGTCTCTGAGGTTCCAGGAAGGAGAGGTGGTGCAGGGAGATCAGCCCATGGTTCCATGTCATCATGGAAGTTCCCTTCAAGAAGCCTTTAGGCAGATTTAGTCCTTCTGAGTTAACTTGATGTACATATTCCCTTTGAGTATTGCTCATGTCTTAATTTTTATTTGAGATAATTCTTGCTCCTAGAAAGGTAGATTTTATTATGCCATAAGTAGAAAAATTAACTTGTGTAGGCATGCTAATGACATTCCAGAGTGAACGTTTTTGATTGCCATGGTCTCTACTGATAATGAGCTGATTATAAGTCTGCTTTGAATTTTTGAGTTGTAGGAAGTCCTTAGTCAAAGCGCACAAAAAATGATCCCATGGTCTGATTTGGCCTGGAATCTAGCTCATTTGCACAGAGAGGATGGAGAACATTTCGTAATTGGAATAAAAAAGGTATCTGAGTAGGTTCAGGAATCAGAGAGCAATTGTTGGGACTGCTGAGACTAGTGAACAGGGAACTAAAGGAAGCTAATTCTATATTTGAAGTGGAGTATTACATGTCACCCATAATTTAATGTGATTAGACCCACTAAATTTTTGCATTAAAGTCATTACCTGCATCTATTGCCTTTGTTCCTATTCTACCATGTATCCTTGAAAGTATTCTGTGATACTGCAGGTACATACTGATATCTCCGTTGTAAGGCTCTTGTCCCATTAAAAAATATTTTTGTGATATATTATGTGTTTTCAAGGAGTCTCCTGAAATTACCTGCTTACTTTAAAATAATTATAAATTATATTCCTTAGTAACTAAATGGGTAACACACAGCTCAAGAAAAGAAGGAAATCTTGATGACTTTGCATTACGAGTTATAAAAGATAGTCAGAAAAAGTTAATTTTTTACCTAGTTAATTCTTTGTGAGGATGATATAATTTAAGATTTCTCTCCCTCTTTTCCCCTACCTCTCTCTCTCAAAATCAATAAACTATATCCTCGGGTGAGGATTAAAAAAACAAGAAAGGGGTGCCTTTATGCATCAAGAGAAGACATGCAGAGACTGGACACCAGATGCCCATGTCTAGAAACAGCTCCTTTTTTTATTTACTTTTAAGTATATTTTTATTGATTTCAGAAAGGAAAGGAAAGGGAGAGAGAGATATAGAAACATCAGTAACGTGCGAGAATCGTTGATCCGCTGCCTTCTGCACCCCCCACACTGAAGATCTAGCCCTGACCCTGGGAATTGAACCATCAACATTCATAGGTTGAAGCTCAACCACTGAGCCACGATGGCTGGGCGGAAACAGCTTTTCTTTTGTTCTTCTTACTCTATATTTCTTCTAGAATATCCTTTTTCCTCTTAGAAATCATATTTCTCTGCATCCCATCTGTCTCCTCACTCTATCTTAGAGGTCATCCTCTCTCCCTCCTTTCATATCTCTTTGTTTCCACAAAGTAAATGACACTCATCTCATTCTGCCTTTCATTCTTGTACCTGTCTTTGGTAGAGCATGTGCTGTGTGCCAAGCACAGTCTAGGTCAGTGGTCGGCAAACTGCGGCTCATGAGCCACATGCGGCTCTTTGGCCCCTTGAGTGTGGCTCTTCCACAAAATGCCACGTGCGGACGCGCATGTACAGTGCGATTGAAACTTCGTGGCCCGTGCGCAAAAGTCGGTATTTTGTGGAAGAGCCACACTCAAGGGGCCAAAGAGCTGCATGTGGCTCACAAGCCGCAGTTTGCCGACCACCGGTCTAGGTAATAGATGTTAAATTATATCTGTCAGAAATTGTGTGGATATAATTACAAATTTTTTTTTCTTTCCAAATGTTTTATTTCAGATTTTACCAAATGTTGCAAGGAGTCTGGAATGCTTATGGTAGTAAAATGCCGGAAAGAAAATTCTGCATTAAAAGAATGTCTAACCTCTTAGTAAGTAGTTATCTCAGTGTTTGTGCGTCTTTGTGTATGTGTATGGAGTATATGTAGTAGGTAAGAGTTTATTATTTAACTCATTCAATGTAATATATTCTGTACCCCTTTAATCCATCATATTTTTAAGCTGAGTCTAAAATATCAATTTGTTAAACATTATTCTTAAAAAAAGCAACATATTTATAAAGTGTTTCTTTAAGTTATGTGGGTCAGCATTGTATCTGATTAAATATATGTAAACAAAAGCATGTTTTTCTTTTTGTTTTGTTTTTGTTTTAATTATTGTTTAAAGTATTACATATCTCCTTTTTCCCCCAATTAACCCCCCACCACCACTTGCACCCCCTTGGCAAGCCCCCACCGCCCCCAATGTTTGTGTCCATTGGTCATGCTAATATGCATGTATACAAGTCCTTTGGTTGATCTCTAACCGCCCCCCTCCCCTGCCTTCTCCCCGAGGTTGGAAGGTCTGCTCAGTGCCACCTTGTCTCTGGATCCATTTTTGTTCATCAGTTTATGTTGATCATTATATCCCACATATGAGTGAGATCATGTGATATATATCTTTCTCCGACTGGCTTATTTCGATAAGCATAATGCTCTCCAGTTCCATCCATGCTGTGGCAAATGGTAAAAGTTCCTTCTTTTTTTATAGCAGCGCAGTATTCCATTGTGAAAAGCATATTTTTCATGTGATTTAACCAATTTCATGAAGAGGTTGATCTATAGAATATATTATAGATGGGTTTATAGTTAAGAAATAAGCCGAAACCGGTTTGGCTCAGTGGATAGAGCGTCAGCCTGCGGACTGAGAGGTCCCAGGTTCGATTCCGGTCAAGGGCATGTACCTGGGTTGCGGGCACATCCCCAGTAGGAGATGTGCAGGAGGCAGCTGATCGATGTTTCTCTCTCATCGATGTTTCTAACTCTCTATCTCTCTCCCTTCCTCTCTGTAAAAAATCAATAAAATATATTTTAAAAAAAAGAAATAGTATTTTTCATCTTTGAGTAAGACAGTGCTCTGCTTTAGTTACTATTGACATTCCATAAAATGGATGTAACCACTATGCTCTCTCATCTTTTCATAGTGACATCTTGAAGCATTGTTTGTGCTCTGGGTTCTGCCTATCTCATCTTCATGAATTCAATAAACTGCAATCTGACTTCTGTCCTCACTCCATTGAAGCTGCTCTTCCTAAAGGTCTAGTACAGTGGTCTCAACCTTGGCTGCACATTAGAATACCTGTCCTTTCTTTTACTTCACCTCGCTAGTAATCTCATAAAATTCCCTTCTATCTGGCTTCCTGTTTCCTAAAGTCTCTAGCTAATTCTTTGCCTCCCCCCCTCCCCCCCCGCCCTTAACCTGTTCCTTAAATTTGCTTCCCTATTTCTCTCCTCATTTTTAAATCTGAGAAAGCTCAGTTTGTACTCATAGATTCAGTTACTTCCTATTGACCGACATTTCTATGCTGCTTTCTTCAGGCACAAAACTGAACTCAGCTACTTTTACTCTGCATTATGTGTCTTTGTGAATTATACAGTTGTCTAGTATCTTTCTTGTCTCCTAACTCTTATTGGTTATTTCCTATTGATTCATTCATTTCCCAAATCTCCCCCAGATCCATTGCATCCTTTTCATCACAGCTGCTCCTCCTTTGGCCTAGGCCCTCATCATTTCTTGTCTGGGTCATTATAATAGTTTATTTATTGGATATCCTGCTTCTAACTTTGCTGCATGCTGTCAGATTCATCTGAGACACAAAGCTGACCTTACAGTTGCTCTCCTAATAGTGCTCCATCATCTTCAGGATAGATTTTAACTTCTTACTATGGCATAAATGGACCATCAGGACTTGGTTCTTGCCCTTTCTAGCTACATCTCAGGCCCTTTCTCCTATGTACATAATCTGCCATAGTGGTTCCAAGTTACCTACAGTTCTTTAGGCATCATAGTTTTTCCTCATCTCTTTGCCTTTGCATCATATGTACCTTCTAAAGGGATTTCTGATGGTCCTTCAAACTGCAGCTCAAGCATTTCCCCTTGACATCTCCCCCTTCCTCACTTCTTCCCCATCTTTCCATGGTGCACTGGGCCATACCTCTACCACAGCACTTTGTATATTTAATTATAATTCACTCTTTACCTGTCTGCTCTGTAATGCCATGGGCTCCTTAAGGATAGGCAGTGAGTGTGCTTCTCATTATATCCTGGGATAGTGCTGTTACCATTAGGTCTTTTTATTTTTCTGGTCTTTAATTAGTTTGGTGGAGTAATGTTTACAGTGAATTTATGACCATTACCAAAAATCTTCTTTTGAAAAAAATTTTTTTAATTTCAATTGCAATTGACATTCAATATTAGTTTAGTTTCAGCTGTTAAAATCTACTTCTAATGTTTGTGCCTGATGAACTGGATATCTGAATGTCATTAAAGTAAGCCTATATTAAATACTTGCAGAGTGATTCACTTTAAAAGATATTCATTTCTTTCTTATAGCTATACTGATCCTGCTTTTTATGAAGAATGTAAAATGGAATACCTGAAGGAAAGGGAAGAATTCAGAAAAACTGGAATTCCTACCAAGAAAAGGCTACAGAAGCTTCCAACAAGCATGTAGGCAAATACTCACATGATACTAACTCTATTCATGGAAATCACAATTACCTAAAATAATGTTCTCAAGGAAGTGTGTCTGCTTATCCTAAATTATGGAAATATTAATTTTATCTGAAATAAAGTTTTTTAAAAAAAATTTTAAAGTTAAGTTTATTAAATAAGATAGAAATAAATAGTGAAATGGGACATAGTTTGCCTGGTCATTATGGATTTTTCAAAAATTTTCCACAACTGTAGTTCTACTAATTTTTAGGATTCTATATAGATCTTATCTTATTCTCTATCAATGTAGAGTAAAGGCTAATCATGGGATCTGAAGTAACTAAAGGAAAACAGGAATGGACAACCATCAAAGGTGCTCGTAACTAGGAAGTACAGCAGAGTGATTATGAAACAGAATCCTTCCTTGTTCTCCACTTATTAGCTATACAACTGGAAATAAATCTCATACAGTTATTGTGAGGACTGAGTAGTGTAAGTACATAGAATAGAGCCTTGGACATGGTAAATGCTCTTTAATGGCTAGTTATTGTTATTATTACTAAAGGCTTATTTGGAAATATAGATGGTAGATAAGTATGTAAAAATTAATTAATTTTAAACATCTTTGATGAAAATTTTTCTAAATGTATCACTATATTCCTTGGCCTGTTAATTTGGCTACTGAAAATACTTTAATCTTTTTAAAGAAAGGTCTTCTTTATAAACTTAAATGACCATTTTATAACATAATAATGGTTTCAGGAATGAATGTAAAATTTTTCTGTCTCAATGTAATAATATGGTCCCAGGTTGAGCTTTTATATTAAAAGTTGCTCCCCCACCCCCATGAACTATTAACTTTACTACAGCTATTGCAACCAGTTTCCAGGTAAGTACATTTTATATATGTTTACAGTTCTCATTAAAATCCCAAAGAGAAATGACTACAAGGACAAGATTTAAATTTGTCCCCAACACCACTGAAATAGATCTGACATTTTTAAAGAACTTAAAGAGGACCCTAAAGAACCAATAGTTAAAGTTCCACACTTTTCTCGAGTGAATCACTCAAAGAACTATTTTACTCTTATTTAAAACCCAAAGAAAACACATTTTCCCAGGCCACAGATCAAAAGGAGGGAGATTACTAGAGCAGAAAAAAGCAAAACAAATATAGAAGCCTAGAGGTCACATAACATAGGGTTGGCCTTTTTGTATTGGTGCATTTCTTAAAGCACAGGACTAATTTTTGTTTTTAATTAAAGGCAAAACATTTACTTTAAAAAGTTAGTGAAATATATAATATGTGGCTATTTTATAATTTTGATTTGAATCAGAGTGGCCAACTTCAATTTTATATGGAAAATGCACTTAGAGACGCTACTTTCCCCCTAGGTACTAGATATTTAAGTTCATCCTTCTTTATTATGTCAAAAACTAAACTATTGGTCATAGCTTTTAGACTATCCATGCTTATGCACACTGAAGTCTACATCTACAATTATATACCTGCCTCAGTTCTTGTCTTGCTTGCTCATTCGTGCCTCTGCTGGTATTATTTTGTTGTGACAATCCACAGATTTTTCGCCCTCTAAGATCTACCTTCCCCAAGTAGGCTATCTGGATATGATCATTACTTTGTTTTCACATGATTCAGTCCCTTAGTTTCTAAGGTTTGAATTTCCCCCTATTTTGGTTTTCTAATGTTTCACATAGGTGTCCCTGCTCTGCTTATGAATTAGGTTCCATTTTGACAGAACCTCAGTTTCCTTTTAGAGAAGATGTAAATTTTGTTTTAGCTAATAGGGGATCAAGAGGAAGGGATGCGTGGCTATTTGTTGTTAGCTGTGTTCTCTTCATTGGTATGGATATGCAGAATTGGGATATTGTTATAAAAATCTGAAGATAAAGAAATTTTCAAGGGAAGCTCTTTGGAGCAAGTTTATAAGCTACAGATGGGCCATTCTTTCATTTCGTTTTGCATCTTACCTAGAACAGAGATGATAAAGTATACATTTAAAAATTAAGTATACATTAAAAAAAACTTAAGGCTGGGTACAAATAATTTTTGGTTAATCTTTCTTAAGTAATCTTACACATTTATTTAGCACTTTAAACTGCCAAGAACATTAACCACTGACTTTCTGTTTTGATAGCTACCCTTTTGTTTAGATGGAAAAGCATTTTCTCCACTCAAAAGAAGTTAGTTTAACAAGATAAATGTCTGTTATATGAATTAAAATTAACAACAAACATTTAGTACCAGACCTTGGAATATATAATCCACAAATTTCACCTCCACTTCACATAAAAATAATTTTAATTTCTTTTCATTGTTCAAAACATTATCCAAGCCTTTATCTCATAGGACTTATTTTCTTTACATAGTAAAATTTCCAATCTTGGTTTTAAAAAAGGCAAACCAGTCAGCTACATTAGAGATTAGATGTAATATACAGCTGCTACAGCCTATGCAACAACATGAGAAATAGTTTCTGCTGCTTTCATATTACACAGGTAGTTGCTTCCTTCAGCTAACGCCTGGAGTCTTGTATTAGTTTTATGCATATTGTGTTTTGTTCTGTTACTTGGCAGGAGATTCTACTCCCTTGAGTCAGCTGTGTTCATTGGTCAGAATAAATTCCAGAATCTGACACCAATTCCATTAATCACAGACAAGCCTGAATAAGTGAGTAAGATAATAGAAAGACAAAAATATATGGTGAACAGTGAACATTGTTTATGTATGTATGCTATTCAGATAATATAGACGAGATCTGAGATATTCTTTTGAGTTTAAAATGGATGTTTGAAACTGTCTATTAACAAGGCTAAAGGTTTCCCACATGAAACACTTTATCTCAGGCAAAGGATGTATGAAATCAAGTAATACATTTTATTACTAGTATTCTTAATACTGCAACCCTGAAAAAATTGATATAAGTTTCCATGTGAAGCCATCCTTGTTATTTTCTTGTTTATAAATTATAGGCCACTTAGAATAAAAAAGTTTGAGGACATTTTACAATTATACGATATCAATATGGCACAGAATTTGGTTTCTAGAATTAAAATTCTTAAATCAATTAATTAAAAATCACTCAATAAGTAACACATTACATTTCAAACCAAAATCTAACAATTTATAAGCTGCTCTATATAACAAGTGAGTGTACTGTAGACGCTTTGAAGAAAATTACTTTATAAATTACACATTTAGATTTTCATTATGGACCCTGAAGGGACAGATTAGACTGAAACCTTTGTGATGCTCTACTTCTAATTGGTTGATGTATAGGATTATAATAGTTATTCACACACTACATAGACTTTCAACTATTTCATCACTTTTCAATTAGGACTGGAGATGTACTGGGATAAAGTTGGCTTCTGTGGTCAGGTTATTTCAAGTCTTAAAATTCAAATTGCAATTCTAAGCTTTATCAAAAACATTGTGTTTAAAAATGATTTTAAATTTTGAAACACAATAGCATATAGAGATGGAAAACCTACATACTGTTATTCCACTATTTATATTTTTCATATATTTCTCAACAGGAAATGTAACTATTCACATTGCCATTTGCTTATGTAACTTAAAGCAACTTATATAAATTTTCTCTTACATTAACGGCCTCCTCTATTTTTAATGAACAGCTATTTAGACATTTCACAATGTCTAATGTAAAACCGTTCTAAAAACTTTCAATGCCATTCTTTATGTGAGGCAGAAATGTACAAACATGATCAAAGACAGAACTGTCTTTTTGAAACACCTCAAGTTTATTAATTTATTAGTAGTATATATCTGATTCTTAGCCAGAATGTGAAGCTGGAGGGTTGCTCTCATACTGGAAAATCAACTACATAATACATTACAGTATGTGCAAATGTGTACATTGAAGAACTCTGCAAAAGTTGAATCGAAACCTGCTTTCAGTTTATTAAATAATTTCTCAAGAATACTTGCGGGAGGTACAGCAACCTCATGACCAAGTCACAGATCTCTTCAGAATTAATTCTTATAAAGGCAGTTTTGATTACGTTGATCCAAGTTATGCGGGGGTGGCAGGATGGATAAAGGCAAAGTTTTATTTTTAGTTTCCCCAAATGCTGTTTCACTTGATTTAGGAGGGCTTGGGAGTACCCAAGAATTGTCTTCCAGAGAATTTCTGCCATATGAGTAGTGTTCCTGAAAGTTTGAACAGTCATGAGGAATAGGTCTCTCGTTATCTGTCCATGATTGGAGAATTGCTTTCTCTGATAAAATCTTTACATCTCCTGGTAAAGGGGGAGATGTGGTATGACAAAGAGTTTTGCCATTTGGTGAGAGAGGGGGGTGTCTTTTGTATGTTGCAGTGAAATTCGTCAAGTGCAGTTTTGTGCTTTCTTTCCCAAGGTCTTCCATGAATCCTACAGGGGCACACGCTAAAAGAGAAAGTACAGGCCAAATGTCAGTTGTCATGGCATTTTTTATCATAAAATTAACATTAATTGGTTGAATTTATAACTGGAAGTAAAGTGAACATTTCCAACTTAGGGAAGTCACTGCACTGTTCCAGGTATCACTTTTCTCACTTGCAAAATGGACACAGCATAGTAATCCTATCCCGCCTGTATCATTGCACTATTAAAGGTGAAGAATTTAAAATTTTTAAAAGTGGGAAACCAATAAAGTTAAAATACAAGTAAAGATTCTGTTCGGGGCTCTTAATGTGGCTAGAGAAGGCTTGCAGACTTTTTACTTCAGTAGAGAATAAGAAGGCTTTCCTTAAATTTCAGTATTTATTATTAAATATCATATTCCTTTATTTATTCAAATCTTTTTTTTCCATAGGTGGTCCAAAAGCAAGTTTTTTCAGAAAGAATTATATTATGAATTGGTGAGACCTAAATAATATGTGTTCAGGCTTTTATGAATAAAACAGTTTAAATAACAGCTATAAAATAATCCAGTATCTTATGAAATACATATAATGTAAGTTCTGCTACTGTCACAATATAAGCCAAGTAAAAAAAAAAAATAACAAAAAATTTCTTCAGTAAGCATGTAATGGCTTAGAAAACAGACTGCTCTAAAGCTATTGTTTAGCCACAGTCAAAACAATGGTAGTATGAGCTTTTGTTACTCTTCCAATTCCCAGGGCAGAAAGATCATTTTTCCTAAGCCAAAAAGGATGCCAATTGCAACTGAGCTTGACTCTATGTAGTTTTAGAACAAAGCAATTGAACCACATTATAAAATAAGCTCTGTCTTTTTACTTGGGAGGAGAGACAGGAGTGAGAGAATTGGAAGTAATACTGTTCAGCTTTTGGACAGGATGGTATTGTAGTCAGGAAAAAGGTAATCTAGTCTTGTCTCTGTCTGCTCCTCAGAGCACTGAATTTTGTCGTGAGGAGTGGTGGCCTCAAGCCTGCCACTGTTATACGAAATGTCCTAGGAAACTTATAGTTCAAAGCACTAAAAATTTATCACCAGCTCAAGACACAAGAATGAATCATTTCTAAATAGGGAAAGCATTTTTCCTTTATTATTATTTGGAAATTATATTTATTATATAAATAAAGAGCCACACTGAAAACTCACTGCAAAATTACTGTATGAGTCCCTTTTAAGAGAAGTCTTATTTCTACTATCAACTAATATTCCCTTATATATAACCCTGGCCACTAGAAAACTCAAGGACAAAATGAACCATAAATTAAGTGAGGGCCTGCCAAAGTACTATATTATTTTGTTTTGATTCATAAGTCACTAACTGTAGAAAATGAAACAAATTCTGAACTTAGTTTTCCTTCACAATATGCAACATTTCCGCCCACGAGTGTATACTCCTGAGGAGAGCTATTTATAAATTTTATTTTTTTTTTTGCACTCTAGGGACAATCTGAAGTATAAACAATTTAAAACTGGATAATGATTATTTTTTATAAAAAGTCATATTACTTTAAAAAGTAAATTTTAGGGCACTCAAATTTATATCACACATCTTCTCAGAAATACAACTGTTATGTAATAAAAGGTATAAATGCACTGATTTTTCTCTGAGGTATAAAAATAGCTTTGGCAAAGTAACCACTACTAGTTAACACAAAACTAAAAGTTCAGTCAGCCAAACAGGTAAAATATGAAAGGAAAAGCAATGAAAATTTTTGTTTGGCTGAAGGGGATAAACATCTAGCCTCTCTTCTAAATAACCTATCTTTCATGGACAGAAAAAATAACTTTGCAAAAAATGAAAACCAAATAATCAAAGTTACTTTTTTCAAAGCAAACAATTGAAAGAGCTAGGTCTTTGGTATACTCTGTAATGAAAAATAGCTTTGGGTGTCTTGGTGTTTTTTTGTTTTTTTTCAAATATATGAAGTAGTTGTGGTAAAAGGTCAACTAGAGCAAACTTAACACCTCAGCCTTATACACATAAGCAACACTTGGCTGAGAAAAAAAGCCACAAGGGGAAAGAATACAGTACTGAAGAAAAAACACATCAGCAACACCTTTATGTGTGAAGTTGACCAGTATGAGACTGAAGCCAAAGCAGAGACTGGGTAGGCTGTGAACATACTATATATTCTTTGGCTTATCAAACTCATTTGATGAGATTTTGATAAGATACGATAACTTAGTTGCTCTTCAAGCTTTTGGCTGGAATCAGTGGTTTCCGGCAAACATTGACTTGCCTTTCTTGATCGCAGTTGGGGTTTTCAGTTTTCTTAGTAGTTCAACCTGTACTTGAGTCACCAGATGTAAATTAGACATTTCTCTCTTCAGCTCCCAGTATACATTTTGCACATCATCACTGAAATACAGGGTTTTAAAAAAAGTTAATGGTCATTCTTCTCTTTGTGAACAGAAGAGAATAACTTTAAAATAGAAATGCTCATATTTGCATTTCTGCTTGAATTAGTTTTGAGATGGTGTAAGTTAAAACTTCCTCATTAAATAACTGAAAGATACTTAATTAGGACATTATAACAAATGAAAAGACTTTATTCATAATAATAACACTGACCTAATTTCTAGCAATTAACTGAACTATACTAAAAAGAAGAGTATTATGAAAAAAAGTATTCTAACCAATGAGTTTCTTATAGTTCTTGTCTCAGAATTGAGATTTTATCATAATTACAGTGCAATTGTGTTAATACATTCAATAGTAAGGAATAACTGATCAAGACTAAAGTGATATTCATGTATGGGTTTTAAATTTGTATTTATCTTATGATTATTCTGTTTTGACACTGTGAATTGAAATACTCATATCAATTGCTGAATGTACACCCAAGCCCCATTAAAATAAAATTTGGGTTTCATGTATTCCATTCTTTTATGTTTGACTGGGCTGTCTCATACTGTTGGTACTAAACCAATGTGACATGACAGCATAAGACATGAAAAGCCAGATGATTTCCTGGTACGGGGGGAAAAACTAGGGAGAGAGGATCATATGAAACAGAAATAAAAACTTCACAAATGCCTCTCGTTTTTATGATTAAAAGTATTTTTACCTCAATTATCTGATAAATTATGTTAGTTATTTTAAACCTAATTTTTAATAAGTTTCATCTTCAACTAAATATTCTTACTTGGATATTCATGATTTCCCCCCTTTTTAGGTTCTTAATTAACTAAATAAATCAAAATCTACAATATATATTCTTAACTTTGCTGTACTAGAATACATAAAATATTAGAGTAAGAACAACTGTTACCATAGTGTCAAATGACCAGTATTTTTTCATACAGATTAGTGTAATTGTAGTAGCAATGAAATAAAATTGGACAGATATGTCACTTCATGCTTTAATTTTTGTCTAGCTTTAAATGAAAACCTTTTAAAACAAATTTCAAGGAATAATACTCTTGATACTTAAATCTAATGTCCTATTTTAATCACAGAAGCAACAGATATATTAAAAACCAATTATTTTGAATTATGTAAGGTTATATAGAATGCTTTCAATAGTAGCAGTGGAATACTTTCTACTGCCTCTGAGAGAAATCTACAGGTTTTAGTCTGTTGTAAACATCACTTGTTCACCAGTAGTCTATTAAAAATCACAGGGCTGCCTGGCCGGCATGGTTCAGTGGTTGAGCACTGACCTATGAACCAGGAGGTCACGGTTCGATCCCCAGTCAGGTCATATGCTCAGGTTGCTGTGCAGGAGGCAGCCGGTCAATGATTCTCTCTCATCATTGATGTTTCTCCCTCACCCTCTCCTTACCTCTCTGAAATCAATAAAATATATATTTTTAAAAATCACAGGGATTTTTGCAGGTTTTTGACAGGTGTGAATAATTATGTCACAAAAATTAATCCACTCTACTTCACCAGTAAACATCTGAGATGGTGCTACATTGAATGTTTCACATAGTAACCTATCTTCATTGTGAAGAGAGTTGTTGGTCCTTGGTGCAAACCTGGGCATTTGGTGTGCTTTCCGGAGTTACTTATTACATAGCAGTAAGTATGAACACTGTATGTGTGCTAATAATTCATGGAGACAGTCAAAATATGAATCATGCTGCCTAAAAGTAGTGTTTCATTATTGGCATGAGATGGTATATCAGTACCTGACTTGTAGAAAAGAAAAGCAAATACCAAGATAGTGTTTGGATACTGGAATATCAAACATATTTAAACATTCAAAATAGCTAAGCATATAAAATAAAAGAGAATTATCATAGAGGTATTAGAAGCAATGTCTGATACAGATTTTCCAATTCAGTTTAATGAAGACTGCTTATAAGTTATGTTAAACTAACAACTAGATCACGAAGTTGAACATCTATCTAGTCTTTTTCTTTTGTCCTTAATGTCACCTGGATTGAAAACTACAGATATAAATATCTGAAATTATTACTAAGAACAAGCTCTCCCTCTTGTGGATAATGAAGTAATGGCAGGTACTTTACAACTAACACTAAAGTGCTATAGTGTTACAAATTAATTTTTAATTTTATCTATTTAAATAAAATGTTTAAATATTACTCAAGTGGAATTGGAAAAGGAAAGTTGTCACCCACAAATCTTTAGCAGAATTCCAACTAATTTTCACTTAACAAGGCATCTTTGAGATTATACTGCAATACCAACCCCCTTTGCCCACCCGACAGGGGATTAAAGTTAAGTTTTGCTTTAAATGCCATGCAAGCAAAATCCTATTAATATATATGGTTTCTATAAAGAACTTGTAAAACTACTCAAACACTGAGATGCAACACTAAAGCATCCAAAATGAGAACACTAAAAGCAATAGATGAAACAAACAAAAAAAGTTGTTTGAGCATTTATTATATGCTAGGCACTTCACCCACATTCTCAGGCCAACTTGGCAACTAGGTTACCGAATTTTACTTGAGGAAACAGGTCCAAGAAGAATTTACTTCACTCTAACATGCTGCTGCTCAAAAACATCTTTTAGTTATCCAGTCTAATAACTGACTGGCTTGGGGGGGTGGGGTAACATTTTTCATATCACCCACAATATGCATACTGTCAACACAATCTTATTAGCCCCTTAAAATATTTCATACTTCTAAATTTTAAGTGTAATGAAACCTTTTTATCCACATCTCAAGAAGGGGTACATGTCCTGCTTACAAAGTAAAATTATGTAAAAGCCCAGTTTTCTTAATTGACACTATACATTTACCTCTGATGGTTAGCATTTTTTAGCAATAATGTATTTTTTGAATTAAAGTGTGCAGGTAGTTTTTTGTTTTTTTTAGACATATGCTTATTGCACACTTAACAGACTACTTTTGTTCTTATCCCAGAAGGATAATTCTTTTAAGAATTTATGTTATACCAAAGACTAAGGCTGTCCAAGTTTATCCTTAAGATAAGTGATATTAGTGTAAGAATTGCATAATTCTCTATGTATAAATTAGGATTTATTACAGAGTACTTCTACACAATTAACTCTCTAATATCCTACCTAAAA